TGGTGGCCCTGCGGTGCAGTTCGCGCTGCTTGCCTCTCCCCCGGTGTCCCGTCCTCAGTCGTCACAGTTGCCGCCGCAGCCGTCGTCGTAGCCGCAGTTGCCGACGCCACAGCGGTCACCTCCGCCACAGCAGCTGCTGCCGTCACAGCAGCAGCAGCAGCCATTCGTGGACTCTTGGGGTGCTGGCGTTGAGGAGGGTGCTTGTCTTGGGGTTCCTGTCATGGCTTGTCCCGGTGGGCTCGGGGGTGGCATCGGTGCTGGAGAGGGTTCTCGCTCTGGGGGTGCTGGAGTGGAGTGTTCCGAAGGTAGCCGTGGTGCAGCTGGCGGTCCTGGTGTCGGCGTCGAGCAGCAACAGCAGCAGTCGCCGCCGGTGTCTACCCTTCGCCTGCTCGGCCTTCCCTTCCCTGACTGCTCGCCTTCGCCTCCTTCGCCGCCTCCTAAGCGTCTAATCCTCCCATCCTACCGTCTCCTCCTCCGTCGTCGCTCGCTGTCATGCCTCTCCCTCTGTCTGACTACTTTCGTGCCACTTGTCCTCTTGTTCCTCGGGTCCTTGCCTCCCTCGTTACCGACTCGTCTGTTCCTGTCTCGAGTCTTGACGCTCTTGTCGCTGCTGTCGCTGACTTTGCCTCTACCCGCCGCCTTGACTACGCCACCGCTCTGGTCTCTGACCCTGTCCGTTCTCCGTCCATCGAGGGTGCTCTAGCCCTTGGCAGTAACGTCCTAGAGGACTGGCAGTACGAGCTTGCTTTCCTATCCGAGGCTGCTCCCCATCTCTGTTCCATGCTCCTAGTTCCTGAGGGTGACTCAGACGCCCTTGATTTCCCGACCCCTCGCACTTACGCTAAGGCGACCTTGGGACCTTGGGCCTCTCATTAGATAGCTGCCATGGAGCAGGAGATGGCATCTTGAAGATCACTCAGCACCTACGTCGACGCAGTTCCCCCACCTAGGGTGAACGTAGTCGATGGCCGGTGGCTCTTCAAGGTGAAGCGCCCCCCTGGAGAGCCGCCTGTATTCAAGGCGCACTACGTGGCTAGAGGCTTCAGTCAGCGCGAGGGGGTGGACTTCTTTTAGACCTTTGCCCCGACCCCGAAGATGACTACTTTTCGGGTGCTGCTACACGTAGCAGCACAGCTTGACTACGAGCTCCACTCCCTTGACTTCTCCACAGCTTTTCTTCAGGGCAGCCTACACGAGCAGGTCTATCTGTGCCGTCCTCAGGGCTTCACCTATACTTTCCCTCCTAGGACACAATGGCTCCTCCGTCACCCTGCCTACGGCCTGCGACAGGCGCCCCGTGAGTGGCATGACACATTGCGTGCTAAGCTAGCTGACATGCGGTTCTTTCCGTCCTCTGCAGACCCCTCGCTCTTCGTTCGTGCTGGCCAGACTCCGTTCTACATCCTTGTCTACGTAGACGACCTGCTCTTTGCTACTGCAGACAGAGACACACTGGCCTCCGTAAAGCCCGAGCTACTGAGCAGACATACCTGCACTGACCTAGGTTAGTTGTGTCGCTACCTTGGCTTGTAAAACTCAAGGGATAGAGCCGCGTGCACCATCACTCTCACATAGTCACAGACTCTCTTCCGTACAGCCCACCCCTCTGCTAGTAGACCACAGACTCTCTGCTTCACTCCCGAAGTTGGCTGTAGAGCCTAGTGGTCCTTACGCAGAGCTGGTGGGTTGCCTCATGTACCTGATGACTTGCATTCATCCAGATCTCGCATACCCTCTCAGCATACTGGCTCGCTTTGTGGCCTCTGGCAGACACCGACCACGGCACTAGTCTGCAGCTAAGAGGGCTTTGCGTTATCTAACAAGTACATCGGACATGTGGCTAGTGTTAGGAGGACGCAGGCCAGTGGTCCTTACTGGGCACACAGACGCTTCTTGGGCGGACGACGCCGAAACTCTCAGGTCCTCCCAGGGCTACTGCTTTAGCCTTGGTGCAGGTGGTGTCTTGTGGAGGTCCACCAGCTCGTCGTCTGTTGCCCAGTCTAGCTGTGAGGATGAGATCTACACCGGTGCCATGGGGGCACAAGAGCTCCGCTGGCTGACTTTCTTGCTCATAGACTTAGGTGAGTGGCCTAGCTCTGCCCCGGCCCTGTACGCTGACAACAGGGCCATGACCCTCCTGCGTCAGGAGCCTCGACTGGAGGGCAGAGCGAAGCACATCCAGCTGCGGTACTTCCTCCTCCGCGAGCTACAGCAGCGTCGCCAGCTACACTTGGCCTCCGGTTCCCATATAGTTGATATCTTTACTAAGGCACTTGCGCCTAAATATTATCAGTGGCACTGTTTGCAGCTTGGTCTAGTTACTGTAGCTACTCACTTGCTAGGACCTTGATTGTGTACTTCTTTCTATATATACCTTTTTGACTGGCCTTGTGGCTTCTCTTCCCCTGGTCGGACTAGTAGTGCTGCCCTGGTTTCCTCTTGTCTTGTTTGTACTCTTGCTGACTGGTCTTCGGACCCTTGCCTCAGAGGCTAGACTAGTAGTGCCACCCTGAGTTGTGTGTCGACTTCCAGGCACTGCCCCTCATCAGGCCTAGGGGGTGTGTCAAACATAATTGTATATGGTATAATAGGCTAGATAGGTGCATGCTCTTAGAGGGTACAACCACTCGAACAAGATCAACATGTATGGCCCATTCTATACAACTTTTTACTCTGAGACCAGTACCAATCCGAACCGCATTAACTGGGCACAGTGGAGTTTTAGAATCCGGCACTATTGTGCGAGCATAATGCGAAGTGGCGCTAACTTGTGATGTTGATTAGTAAATGTACGTGTGTTATGTTTTCCGTCCGCTTCGTTCCATTGTCCAATTGGAGTGAGGGCGAAATGTACAGCACCAAGCATTGGAGTGAGGGCGAAATGTAGAGCACCAAGCATTGGAGTGAGGGCGAAATGTACAGTGCCAAGCGTTGGAGCGAGGGCGAAATGTACAGTACCGAGGGTTGGAGTGTGGGCGAAATGTGTGGCGCCACGCTGGCACGAAAAAAATCTCGCCCCCCCCCCCCCCCCAATTATTACAGTTGTTTGGGATGCCGCGAGCGGGAATTCCGCCCAAAATGGGCGGGGGTTATGTCCACTGACAATTCGTAGAAATGTTTACTGGCAGTCACTGACTAACCGTGGAACCCGACTGACTAGCCGTGTGACAAACTCACTAATTCTGATGGTTGAGAGTGTTCCACTGACCGTACGTAATAGCGGGGACCCTAATACTAATCGCGGATATACATTCTCTTTTGCTGATCATGCTAGTGTGTGGAGGTTTTGTTGAATTCTCTTGGGAGGGGAACACTCTTGTCTGGTTCGACAGGATAAAACCTCCAATGGTTCAATTTGATGCGGTGGAAATTGTTTGAGGAGGATTTAGCAAGTCTACATAGGATAAATTGCGGTCGTCTGCGAGGTTCGGCTATTGATATTTCGGGAGGTGCGGTCCTGCAAGGCCAGAGCAGAGACTGTTATTTCAGGAACGCGATCTCAATCAAATGAGGCAAACCTAGGGGGATGGCTTGGCTTGTCAAAAGGCAAACCCAAGGGGATGCCTTTCTATGGCTGTGGCTACTACAGCCCAAGGCTTACTTTTGGTTTTTAGTCTTCCTAAAAGAATCAGGCTTCTTGAAATTTTACCCTTAATTTTCAGGGTCCAGCAGAAGGCAACCTTTAATCATTAGGGTTCGTTCGTACACCCTTTTCACTGCCATGGTTAGAATCTACAAGGAGATGTATGGACAAGACGAAAAGGGCGTGGGTAATGTGCACGGGGCTATGAGGGGAGAATGATGAAATCTACTTGAGTGAGTTGTCTCCCCTCTGTTTGTGACAACGAGGTGTGAGTAATGTGCTGTGAGGGGAGAAGAACAAAAATCGACTAAGGGAGTTGTCTCCCCTCTGTTGGTGACTACGAGGTGTGAGTAACGTGCTGTGAGGGGAGAAGAACGAAAATAGAATAAGGGAGTTGTCTCCCCTCTGGTGGTGTCTACGAGGTATGAGTAATGTGCTGTGAGGGGAGAAGAACGAAAATATAACAAGGGAGTTGTCTCCCCTCTGGTGGTGACTACGAGTCTACAAGGTGTGAGTAACGTGCTGTGAGGGAAGAACGAAAATTTACCGAAAATCTACTAAGGGAGATGTTTCCCCTCTATTGGTGACTACAAGGTGTGAGTAACGTGCTGTGAGGGGAGAAGGACAAAAATCTTCCATGGGAGTTTTCTCCCCTCTGTTTATCAGTTGGTGTGAGTACGTGCTGTGAGGGGAGAACAACGAAAATCTTCTAAGGGAGTTGTTCCTCCTAAGGAGATCCCTCCTGTAGCCCTACCAGCACCAGTAGTACACTCAGGGTAGGAAAATAATATACTCTTAATCTCCAGGGTTACACTCGGCATAAACCCTCAATCCATCGGGTTCATAAGAAACCAACCCTTGATTTATGGGGTCAGCTAAACAACTACCCTTAATTTGACTCGAATTCAGGGCAACAGCCCTTTAAAAATAGGCCTTGCTACAGCCATGCAATCCTGATGCGCGTGAAATGATGGCACTTGCGATGTCAGATACTGTACTGTACTTCATCTCCTCAGGCTGCCCCCCGGCACTTTACCAACCTCCCCACGACAAAGGCAAGTGAAAATGGTTGACCAATAACCGTTCTCGTTCCTGCCCTCCCCCAGTGTTCTGTGCAGTCCATTGTGAAAATCTCTGGGTTGGTGTGCGAACGAACGTGGTTTCAGGTTTCGCGAAGAGACCGATTGCGATTGGATAACGAGAACTGAGGGAAAAGAGTTGACGAAACTCACGAAGCTCGTTCTGCGCTGCCATTCGAGCATCCCTTGCACCGCTGTTCGCGGAACGGAGGATCTCGTGCCAACGCGGATCCCCTATGGCTGGCATTCCCATCCAGCAGGAATGATCACAGCTCAGCTCAGCACGGCCTACTGCCATTGACTCCATTCCATTCCCATGTCCATTCACGCCTGTCCTCGCCTCCCTCTCATCCTCGTAACCCCTCAGCCATGGCTTTACGCCATGGCCTCTCCCTTCGGAAATTCAAGCACACGGTCTGACTGAAGAATTTCGTCTTGGAGCCAGCTTAGCATTGCGTATGGGTCTGTCTCAAATGGAGGCTTCGCGGCTGCACCTGTGGCATTGTAGACTGAGTCCGAGCATGTCACAATCTGAGCATGTCAGAGTCTTTCTTGAATTACCCGTTCCTGAACGTGAATCTTTCATCACAATTTCGACTTCACGCGCCGTGCTTCTTTGTTCTGCCTTTCTTTGTCTAAATCCCCGCCTCGATTTCATGCTCGAATTACCAGGTTCCAGCAACAACAGCATGGCTCCTAGTTATTCTTAGCATATCAGCATTGTAACAGTAATTCCGGTGAGGAAGATATATGGTTATTCGTCAAACGAAGCAGCTTCGCTCGTCGCGTCATGGATCCCCCCGCTTCTTCCGGCGACCGTCGTGGTTACCACGCCAGTGGTTACCATGCCAGTGGTTACCACGCCAGTGGTTACCACGCCAGCCAATCCCCTTCCAGTCCATCTCACGACATCAGGCCATTCCCTTTCAGTGTGTCTCCTGATGACCTTCCTTACAGTCACATGGCTGTACAAGAACGTCAGGACACCTACAGACAGACTCAAGGACCGAGCGACTTTCATCCAGAGCACCTTATTTGTCAAGATTACGGGCCTTCCGCTTCGGCTTATAACGCGTATCAGCGTTACGGTGACTCGAGCTTACTGGGTAGGTCACGGCCTACCGGATATTGCGATCAGATGTACTCCTCCTCGACCCAGATACGCACGACTCCTACGCACACAGCTTCGCCACCCGATAGGTCGCGGCCTACTGCATATGGCGATCAGATGTACTCCTCCCCTACCCAGTTACATGACATAATATGCACGTCTCCGGAGATTCAGCAGTCTGCTGCTTACTACTCTGACCCGAGGCGGTACTCTTTTGAGGCTTGCAATGCAAACTCGCCTGATATCTATCGCGAATCGGCGCGAGCACCGCACCGTCCATCGCGTTCCGGAGAAAGGAGATCCGACGGTCGACCGTTGGCCGATTCCATGCCCATTCCCCCTTCCGCGTTTTCTTCCGACGGCGTCGTTTCCTCCCAGCGACAGCTGTCCGACTCATCACCCGCGTATTTCAGCGCCGCCGGTGGTTCCAGAATGGACGGTGCAGCGTGGTTGATCGGATCCAGATCGGGCGGTGTGGCGAAGTGGAGCGGGTCCAGAATGGACGGTGCAGGGTGGTCGAGTGGGTTCAGATCAGACGGCGCAGATTGGTCCTCCCAGCCGCCGACGATGCCGCTTGAGAGGACTCTGACCGACCCGCGGTGCTTAAGCTGGCTCGAAACCCCCGCCGGGAATGGTGACTATATCAATGGAAGAAGCGGCGGGCCGCTCGGCGATCGACCTTGCGTCTACCACGAAGGGCGAGCCGGTCTAGGCGGCGCTGGAGGTGGTAGTACTATGGGGGCGTCCTTAACTCGCAGCGCCAGTAGCACCGGGATACCGGACTATTCCATCCAATGGGCCCGCAGCGGCGGTGACGGCGGATTTGGCGGCAGTGGTAGTGGCGGCGGCTGTAGCGGCGGCAACGGTGGCGGTATAATCGGCGGCGCTTGTCATGTCAACAGCAGCGGTGTCGGTTATGGCGGTTTTGGCGGCGGGAACAGCGGGGATGCTGCATGGGGCGGCGCAACAGTCGCTTGCGTCAATCGCAGTGGGGGTGATGCGCTAGGGGAGCGCGCACCAGGCTTAAACATGGGGGATCCCCCGTTTTGCGCTGATGCGGGGAGCAACCAGACTCCCCCAGGCGCGGACCCGGGGAGCTTCCAGAAGCAGCCGTTCCGAATGAACAGCCTCCCTCGCGCACGCGGGGTGCGCCTCCCGCGCGATGAGACGGGGCCGGCCTTTATCGAGTCAGCTTGTAGCGGGCCAGCCGTGGATGGAATGCATTTCACCGAAAGTTTTGAGGAGAGGAGGGGGGTGGGCGATGGACGGGAGTATGCGGTGGAGCGGAGGGATGAGGAGGGAGGGCTGGGAGGGCTGGGAGGGCTGGGAGGGCTGGGAGGGTATGCAGTGGATCGGAGGGTCGAGCAGGGAGGGCTGGGAGAGGTGCCGAGACTTACTCGCAGCCGAACTCAGGGGTTGGAATGGTGTGCAGTGGATCGGAGGGAGGAGCAGAGGGGGTTGGGAGGATATGCACTGGAGGGGAGAGACGAGCAGGGGGGTTGGAGGAGGTGCCTAGATTCACTCGCAGCCGAACCGAGGGGAGGGATGCTGGTGATGGTGATGGTGATGGTGATGGTGATGGTGATGGTGAGGGTAGCAGCGGCGGCAATTGGGGGGTCGGTGTCAGACAAACTGCCCCAGGGATTGTCGGCCACGGCAGCGAAATGGGCTTTAAGAACGGACGTGGCCGCGGCAGTGCAGCCAGTGGTGGCAGTGGAAGCAGTGGCGGCAGTGGCGGCAATGGCAGTGACGGTGGCGGCAGTGGCAGTGGTGGCAGTGGCAACGTCGGCAGAGGCGGCAGTGAGGGAATGCGTGGCTTCACTAAGCACTTCGAGAGGCTCAGAGCTGCGAAACAGCGCGAGAAGGAGCAGCAGGTGGGGGCGCGGCAGGGGGGGGAACAGCAGGCGGGGGGTCAGCAGACGCAGGGGCAGCAGGGGCAGCAGGGGCAGCAGGGGCAGCAGGGGCAGCAGGGGCAGCAGGGGCAGCAGGCGCAGCAGGGGCAGCAGGCGCAGGGGCAGCAGGCGCAGGGGCAGCAGGCGCAGGGGCAGCCTCGTACTCATTGTAAGTCACTGAGTGGGACTCTACAGCGGATAGCAACTGTAGCCGCTGCTGCCTCTGCTGATACTTCCGCTTCTGCCGCTTCTCCTTCCCCACTACTCCTCAACCCCGCCCCCCCTCTCTCCCACACTCTCTCGCACACTCCCTCGCCGACTCTCTCACCCACTCTCTCACCCACTCTATCACCCACTCTATCACCCCGCGCCTCACTCCCTCCCTCTTCCCCTACCCCTCTCAGCCCCTCGTCCTCCCCCTCAATCCCGCCCCTCTCTTCCACCCTTAAAGCCTCCTCCTTACTCCGACGACCTGGCACCGTTCCCCTCGCTTCCCCTTCCGCCCTTCCCCGCGCCTCCCCCTCCGCCCTTCCCCGGACGCCCCACTCTTCCCCCAGATGCCCCTCCCCCGAATCCGCCTCCCCTGGCCTCCCCTGCCCGCGCTCCCACCCAGGCTCAAGTCAGGGCAAGCCTCGCACGTCCCCCTTGCTACGGTCGCTAGGCTCGGGTACTTTCGCCAACGTATATTCTTTTAGTCTGTGGCAAGAAGGGCACGAGGAGGAGGGGCAGGAGAGGGAGGAGCAGGAGGAGGAGGGGCTTTTGAGTCGACCGAAAGGCTCGGGTACTTCTAACAACGCGTACTCGTTTAGTTTGTGGCAGGAAGGGCAGGATAAAGTGGGGCAGAAAAAGGAGGGCGGGCAGGAGGAAAAAGAAGGGGAGGAGCAGAAGGGGGAGAAGGAGAAGGTGCAGCAGGAGGAGCCGGAGGAAGGGGGAAGAGAGAGGAGCGAGAGGCGTGAGCAGCAGCAGCAGCAGCAGCAGCAGCAGCCAAGCATCTCACCAGCGCGTCTCTCTATCCGCTCCTCTCCCAAGATCCGACCCTTGATTAACCCCTCCTCCTCTCCAGAGTCCCCCAAGCCTCGGAACTACCCTCTGCTGCGCTCCCCTGGGTCGGTAACCCGCTTGACCCTTCAGCCGACCCAAAGGTCGCCTCCTCGCCTGTTGCGCTCCCCTGGCTCTGAAAGGCGCTTGGCCCTTGAGCTCACCGAAAGGTCGCCTCCTCAGCTTCTGTGCTCCCCTGGAACAGCCAGGCATTTCACCCTGACTAGAAAATCAGCCCTTGCGGGGCAGGAGGAGGGGCAGAACGGGCAGGTGGAAGCGAGAGATGCGGAGAGAGGGGAGGTGGAAGGGGAAGATGATACGAATGGAATGGGGGAGAGAGGGGAGCGTGGACAGATGGAGAGAGAGGGGGGGGAAGGGGGAGAGTACGAGAATGGAGTGAGGGAGAGAGGAGTGGGGGTGAGAGAGGTGGAGAGAGTGGAAGCGGAAGAGCAGCGCACGCCCAAGGGGTTCTCAGGGTTCTTTGAGGAGCTCAAGAGGAAACGGCTTGCAGAGAAGCAGCAGCAGCAGCAGCAGCTCGCAGGCTTGGAAGCAGGCTCGGGGGCAGGCTTGGGGGCGGTCGATGAGACAGGTTTGGACGAGAGGGGTGGTGAAAGAGGGAGGGACGAACAGGCCGAAGGACAAGTATGCCCCCATCCCCATGCCCCTCCGCCCCGCCTTGACCCTTCCCAGCCCGGTGCCCCCTTGCATCACCAGCACCACCATCCCCTACCGACAGACGAACCCCTTCATCAAGTGTCGTCTGAGTTTCCCCATAGGGCCGACGGACCCCCTCGCCATGCCCCAGGGCAGCAGAGCCAGGATCTGCAGAACACGCTGCCCGGATCATTGTTGCGATTAGGGTTGGTGGGGCTGGGAGCGGGGCTGGAGCTAGATGCAGAGGGGCAGGAAGACGCAGAGGGGCCAGAGGAGTTTGGTTTCCAGGGGTCGCTGGATGGAGGCGGCTATAGTGCCACGTTCGGTAGGCCTAGCAGCAGCAGCCGCATTCGCAGAGGGGCCAGAGGGGCAGAGGGCGCAGAGGCCCCAACGTCAGAAGGCGCAGCAGAGGAGCCAGAGGAGTTTGGTTTCCAGAGGTCGCTGGATGGAGGCGGCTACAGTGCCGCGTTCGGTAGGCCTAGCAGCAGCAGCCGCATCTGCAGAGGGGCCAGAGGCGCAGAGGGCGCAGAGGGCACCAAGACCCCATCATCAGAAGGCGCAGCAGAGGAACCAGAGGAGTTTGATTTCCAGGGGTCGCTGGATGGAGGCGGCTATAGTGCCACGTTCGGTAGTCTCAGCAGCAGCAGCCCTGGCAGCAACACGTTTAGTGGGTTCAGCAGCAGCAGCAGCAATCACAGTACCAGCAGCACCATCAGCAGCCACACTGCCCCTGCTGCCCTGTTTCCTCCAGCTGCTGCTGCTGGCCCTGCTGCTGCTGCTTCCAGTGACTTAGCTTCGGCTAGTGCAGGAGCAGCAGGGACAGGACGCATCCCCAGGGCCACTACCATCCAACGAGGTAACGCCTCCCCCAGACGCAGCCCTGCAGGTAACGCCTCTCCCAGACTCAGCCCTGCAGGTAACGCCTCCCCCAGGCGCAGCCCTGCAGCACCAGGCATCGTTTCTTGGTCTGCTGGTGCTGGTGGTGCTGGTGCTGCTGGTGATGCTGATACTGCTGCTGATGGTGCTGCCGACACTGCTGCCACAAGCAGTTCTTCCCCCCTCCCAGTCCAGGAAATCTCTTTCTGCCTGGGAATCGCGACCAAAGCAACAAAAACGGCGGGTACTGCTGGTACTGTTGGTACTGCTGGTACTGTTGGTACTGCTGGTACTGTTGGTACTGTTGGTACTGCTGGTACTGCCGGTACTGTTGGTACTGTTGGTACTGCTGGTACTGTTGGTACTGCTGGTACTGCTGATACTGTTGGTACTGTTGGTACTGCTGGTACTGCTGATACTGCTGGTACTGTTGGTACTGTTGGTACAGCTGGTTCTGCTGTTGGTGATGATGGTGCTGCCGAGAATGCTGCTACTGGCCTTCCTCCCACGCTCCCAATCCAAGAAATCTCTTTCTGCCTGGGAATCGCCGCCTACGCAACAAAAGCAGCAGACGCAGCAGGTGCTGTTGGCTCCTCGCCCCCCCGTTCCCCCAGGAGTTTTCCCAGAGATATCCCCAGGTGTTCCCCCAGGTGCTCCCCCAGGTCTTCCCCCAGGGGCAATAGCGCATCTTTTAAGATGTGGACACCTGAGGTGGACCCTGAGGCGGCTCAGAAGAGCAGGATAGAGAACCTGCAAAAGCACCTGATGGGGCTTCAGGTGCACGGGCTTGTCACTGTTGCTGGTGATGGTGGTGGTGATGGTGGTGCTGTTGCTGCTGCTGGTGATGCTGCTGCTGTTGCCACTCCTATTGCTGCTCCTGCTGCTGACGTTGCTGCTGCTGCTGCTGGTGATGCTGCTGCTGCTGCTGTCAATGTAGCCTCTAGTGCAGCAGCACAAGCGCCACTAGCACGGACTTCATCAGGGCGAGGCTTAGACGCCAAGCTGAGGGATTTGGCTAGAGTAGCGTCAGCTGCAGCGACTGTAGTGGTGCCCACAGCAACGCTAACAACAGCTGCTAACCCTGCTGCTGCTGCTGGAAATGTAAGGTCTGGCGCAGCAGCACAAGCACCACTAGAGCGGGCAGCATCAGGGCGCGGCTTGGACGCCAAGCTGAGGGATTTGGCCAGAGTAGCGTCAGCTGCAGCAACTGCAGCCATGCCCACTGCAACAACAACAACAACACCAACAGGAGCTGCTAGCCCGGCTGCTGCTGCTTCTCCTGCTGATACTCGTGCTGCTAACCCGGCAGCAGCTGCTTACCCGGCTGCTGCTGCTGCTTCTCCTAGGAGAAAGCTTGACACGTCAGCAGGAGGAGCAGCAATGACACGAGCATCCCCAGGGAGGGATCTGGACTCGAGGCTGAGGAGTCTGGCCCGAGCGGCCTCAGTTGCAACGGCGACAGCAGCTGCATCTACAGCAGCAGGAGCAGTGGGAGCACGGCCAGAGACGCTTGCAAGGGCACAGACAGCATCAGCAACCTCTATTGCATCAACAGTAGCAGCAGCGGCAGCGGCTGAGAAAGCCCAAGGGAAGAGTGGTAAGACCAGCAGCAGCAACATCAGCAGCAGCAGCATCAGCGGCAGCAGCATTGGCCAGAACGACTGGGGAAGCAAACGGAGTGTGGAAAAAGCATCGTCCCTGCCCTCTTATTCACCTACTCCCTCTTATTCACCAACGTCACTGGGAGCTCTCGACTTAGTACCGTCCAACAAACCACCGATTTCAGAGCTCGCTGCAAGCGGCGATGACAGGTACTACAACCAGCAGCAGCAGCAGCAACACAACCACAAGCACCTCAACAACCAGCAGCATCAGCAGCAGCAGCAGCACGAGAGGCATGGGTTGAGGGAGCTCTCGAGCTCCTATGGAGGGGAGAGTGCGTTCTCTGCAGAGTGGGACTCTGAAAGTGGCGATCATTTGAGTCACGTTCCCCGTAGTCACAGCAGGCGGCCAGAGGGAGGGGGAGGAGGGGGAGGAGGGGGAGGAGGGGGGGGAGGAGGGATGAGCACCCTGAAGCATTTATTTGGGGCATTGAGGCTCAAGAGGGCACCGTCTAGCAGGAGTGTGCGATTGGACGTGAGGGAAACCCAGTCCCATGATCCGACATTGGCTAGGCGCAAATCCCAGTTCTCCTGAGTGCAAGAGGCCTTGCTTTGAGGCATGTACTTGGGGTGTGGTGCTTTGAACCAGTAACTTGGGGTGGGGTGGTGAGGCTCAAGAGGGTCCCTTCTAGCAGGAATGAGCGCTTGGACGTGAGGGAGACCAAGTCACATGATCCGACATTGGCCAGGCACAAATCCCAGCTCTCCTGAGTCCAAGAACCCGTGCTTTGAGGCAGGTACTCAAGGTGTTGGAGGCAGTTACTCCAGGCGGGTACTGAAGAGGCTCAAGAGGGCTCCTTGAAGCAGGAGTGTGCGCTTGGGTGTGGTGTGAGGGAGACCAAGTCCCGTGACCCCTTGCTGACTAGGCACAGACCTGAATTTTTTTCAACAAATATAAATTCTCCTGAGTGTTATAACGATCAGGTAACTGGGTTGCTGCAAGCTTGCGTACGAGGGAAATATCGTCAAGTTATTCTCCTCCGTGATTTTGGTTATGGGAAATTCCCAAATAGTGACACATATGAACCTTAAGTAACCGAAGTACTTATTGAATGGCAGCATCATATTTCAACAGGGCAGCAGGGAAGGCCATGTGTGGCGACAAAACTTCAGGAGCAGGCTTGATTTGCCAGACCAGGTAAACGACCCCTTTACTAGTACCAAATGTGGGGTTTTGCTTGCTATCCAGCCCCACCTCCAATAGACTATTCTCCCAGCACCTTCAATTGCTGTAATGCGGCCTGTAGAGGAACGTGATAATCCCGAGGAGTCTGAGAGGCATTGCAGTTCAAGAGGCCTATAGATCAATCAATAACAGTTTGGTTTCAAGACGGAAAGACAAACAGGTCTGGAGGAAATCATGTGCGTGCAAATGTCAAGCATAAGCGAATAATACCAGTACCAGCAAATCCATTTAATATTTTGTACGTAGTTCGGGCCTGTAAGCAAGAACCACAGGCAGCCGGGGAAGCAAACATGGAACGAACACACATTGGTGAAAGAAACTGAAGAACGAGAATGTTTGCTCGCTCACATGGTCAGTGGGAAGGACGAGAATGTCGGCATGTCAGAGCGTGGGGGATGTAAGCATGTTAGCACATGACTCATGGTGCCGGTACTATGAAAGCCATAGAGCAAGAAGGAACTTGAAGTTACTTGTTGTAGAATATTTGAACAACCAGCAGCACCGCCATCACCCAATGATCCCTCCCTTCCCTTACCATCATCCAGTGCCCTTCATGGTACTGAGGTGACTTTTGAGTCTACTCAAATGATAGTGATCATCATCTCGTTACAATGTCACACAACACTTTCGCTTTTGAGTCGACTCAAAAGTCACTCAGCAGCACCGCCATCACCCAATAATCCCTCCCTTCCCTTACCATCATCCAGTGCCCTTCATGGTACTTCCATCACGTCAGATGCTCTTATCAAATCAACCTCTCTATCTCTCTATCTCTCTATCCCACTCATATCCACTCCTCCCCCCCCACTTCCCTTCCACCTTGTCCTCATCCTCATCTATCATGCACCTCTTGATTCCCAAGCACTTCCTCCGTACCCCCCTACTCCTGCAATCTCCTAGTTTCTCAAACACTCCCTCTCGTACTCTATTACTCACTCCCTTCTCTAACCGTCTTAGTTCCCATCTCCCATGTAGCACTCCCAGCATTCCTCAATCTCCCCATATCGTGCCCTACTCCTCTCTTCTCTCTCCTCTCTCTTTTCACTCCTCACTCCTCCTTAACCCTATGTTCAGATCATAAGCTCGCTACAGAACCCCCCTTCGTACCCAACCCATTGCTCACCGTATCGCAACATAGACTCGTTATAAGGTTGTCCCGTTACAAGATCAGCTCTGCTCCGCGGTATCGCTGTAGAGCTTGTGGATCCGCGTGTCCTTACCCCACCCGACGTTCTTAATCGACGACAGGTATTTCTCAACTAAGCCGCTGCAGTTCTTAATATGATTCACCCCTTCCGTGCGGTAACACTGCTTCAGCTGTTCGCGAAGCAACTTCGCACGCTCAATCGCGACCATCTTTTCGCGAACCAGCCATTCGCGATGCTCCAGCATCGCCACCGGATCCGCGTACGGGTTACTCGGGTCGAAATCGTCCGGCGGTGTTACATCGAAGGTCGGCTTCCCCTTGAACACCATTTTCGGCGATCACTGAAGCACTTGAATCAGACACTAGTAACGAAAGCGCAGAGGAATGTAACGAGTAATGATTACAAACTCTTACGTGAAAACGGTAGGAGAGAGGTGGATAATAGCGAGAGCTACCGCCGTCACCTCGTCACTGGAGGATAAGGGCAGCAGCGGGAAACGCGGCGGAGCGAGACGCGGAAGGGATGGCTGGCGCGATGGCGGAAGTAAGGCCAAGGGGAAAGTGATAAGACAAGCGATATACCCGTTAGACGAAGCTCCGGAACACGTTCCCGATTTTATCCTTAGAGGGAAATTAATTCTTCGGCGATTTCATTCAGGTGTACCATTATTGGGTGTGCAGGTTCAGAAACGAGGAAAATTTACAATCGCGAAAATTTTGCCCCGAAGGGTATTCGCGAAAACTTATCGAAATGTGCTGCGAATTGTATATCCAGCCTGAGTTCCGGTTTTCCGAGAACTGGAACTGTAAGTTCCACGCCCTCACGCCTGGAGTTGGGAGATAATTATCATCCTTATAACGCAGCATTGCAACACATTACGGTTCGCGGTCTGTCAATAACGAGTGCTGTTCTCCCTAGCGCAGGACCGTTTCGCCTCCCGTCGTGCGATGGCGGCTCCAGCTACGGCGGCGCGGTCGCAGCAGGAGAGCGACGTGGATTACCTTATAACGAATGTGCTTATGCCGGTTGACGCAGACCAAGAGGGGAATCCCTTCAATGGGTAGGCTCGGGGGAATTCGCGCGGGTGGTCTGCGGGATAACCTCCGCGGGTAGTAGCCGCGGGTAGTGTCCGCGGATATTCTGCGCGGGTAGTCTCCGCGGGATACTTTGGGGGGAAGCTCCCTACGGGCAGCGTGCAGCTGAATGCTGCGTCGCGTTGGCTTCCGTGCTCCTGTGAAGTTTTTGAGTCGACTCAAAGTCGCGTTGGCTGCGGTGCCTCTGTGCTGCTGTGCTGCGGTGCTGCTGTGCTCCTCCTTTTCTGATCTTCCTTTCTCTGTCGATTCTCTTCTCACTTCCCCTCCCATTCCTCCCCTCCCATTCCTCCCCTCCCATTCCTCCCCTCCCAACCCTCCCCTCCCATTCCTCCCCTCCCATTCCTCCCCTCCCATTCCTCCCCTCCCATTCCTCCCCTCCCATTCCTCCCCTCCCATTCCTCCCCTCCCATTCCTCCCCTCCCATTCCTCCCCTCCCATTCCTCCCCTCCCATTCCTCCCCTCCCATTCCTCTTTCCCATTCCTCCCCTCCCAAACCTCCCCTCCCATTCCTCCCCTCCCATTCCTCCCCTCCCCAGCCTCCCCTCCCATTCCTCCCCTCCCATTCCTCCCCTCCCATTCCTCCCCTCCCATTCCTCCCCTCCCCAACCTCCCCTCCCATTCCTCCCCTCCCCAACCTCCCCTCCCATTCCTCCCCTCCCATTCCTCCCCTCCCATTCCTCCCCTGCAACACTGCATCGTCCTGTCATCCCCTGGTGTGGTATGCCCCTCCAGCTATGCGCGCTTCACTGTTCGCATGTCCCAGGGAGCGATAGCATCGGTCGTTCGCACTTCGCCCATCACTCCCCACGCTGTCACCCACGCTGCTGCTGATGCTGCTGCTGATGCTGCTGCTGCGGGTGATGCTAACGCAGTTGATGATGGTGCTGCTGCTGGTGCTGCTGCTGCTGGTGCTGCTGATGCCGATGCGGCAGTAGCAGAAAGGGGCAGGACTGTACACGTTATAGACGGGACTAATAAAATGGTACGTCCATGATACGTAGCATATCTGGCACTCGATCAAGAGGCCGCCCACTTTCTCTGCTCCCCCGCTCGCCCCTTCCGTGTTCATACTTCTCCTCTTCCTCTTTTCCTTCCCCTTGCAGGGAGTTTTTGAGAATGATCAGAAACATCCTGCAGATTTCTCATGAACACCCTTGTTCGCCCCGTCCCTGGTCATTCTTCTCTGTGGCAGCTCCTTCCAGGCATGGTCAACGCACACACGCACAGCATAGAGGCGTGGGGCAGGGGAGGCATCATGCCTCTGGTGAGATTTAACGCCGTTTGGTGAGATGAAACGCACCCGTGAGATGAACCGCCGTTTGGTGAGAAGAAACGCCCATAAGTGAGGTGCAATTCAGGGTGACTTGTTGAATGGTGCATGGTACGTGCCTCTGGTTAAGATAAATCGCTCTTATGCCTAATTCGTGTATTTATTCCCATTTTTATCTCATGTCTTCTTTCCGTCTCCCTCTCCCTCTGCATTACCAACTTCCTCTCACCCTCCCTTCCAGCCCCTAGAGCTGGCTGGGAGGGAGCTGTGGGTTAACTCCCAAGATCCGTCCAATCCTCCTTTTGCCCTTCTCTCTCCTCCTCCCAACTCCCTCTCACCCTCCCTTCCAGCCCCTGGAGCTGTGGGTAAACTCCCTCTTTACCCACATGGACCCCCGAGGACCCAACCCCAATGCTTCCCCTGATGTGGTGAGGGTGGGCTTTGGGGAGGGGAGTGGGGGGAAGCTACTGTGGGGGAAGGGGAGAAGGGGGGAGGGATGGGTTGCTGCTGGGCTGGGGCGAGGGTGGGCTTTGGGGAGTGGGGGGAAACTACTGCAAGGGGAAGGGGGGAGGGAGGGGGGATGGGTTGCTGCTGGGCTGGGGCAAGGGTGGGCGTTGGGGAGTTGGATTGAGGGGAACTTGTGCGGGGGAAGGGGGGAGGGGGGATGGGTTGCTGCTGGGGTGTGGGGCCCCATACCATACCATACCATACCATACCATACCATAACATGACAAACAAAACCTTACCCCACCCCGCCACACCACACCAGGTGTGTTGGGCAGCTCCACATACTGCAACCAAAATTATCAGCTCTGGAGTCCAGAAGGCCTCTTTCCCTCCATTGCAGTCCTTCCCATGCCATACCCCACCCCACCACACCCCACCACATCCCATCACACCCCACCACACCCCACCACACCACACCACACCACCCCACGTATTGGGCAGCTCTTCATACTGCGGTCGAAACCACCATGAGTGGAGGCACAGCTGTACTCATCCTTTCCTCATTGGAATCCACACCCCACCACAACCCACCGCACCCCACCGCACCCCACCACACCCACCACACTCCACCACACCGCACCCCACCACACCACCTCATCACACCCCACCCACCCCACCCCACCACACCAGGTGTATTGGGCAGCTCTACATACTGCAATCGAAACCATCATGACTGGAGGCACAGCCGTTATGGATCACCTGTCAGTATCCCTCTTTACCTCTCTTCATGCCTCTGTATGCTTCTCAATGCCTCTCTGTGCCCCGTTAACCCTCTGCACCGCTTTTGAACCCTCCACTGCATTCGCCCTCCTCTTATTCTCCCCTGCCTTCACCCCGTGTTTCCCCCAACCAAGTCATCCTTCCTCCCCCCCCCCTCCCTCCCCACTCCCCTCCCCCTCCCCCTCTCTTTTTGAGGCGTCTTAACTAGCATCACTCTTCCCCTCGCTCCTTCCCCCCCACTCCTCCCCCCCCTTCACCTCCCCCCCCCGCCCTTTCCCCCCCATTCCGCCAGTTACATTCGGGACCTATCTGACCTAGAGGCAGCAGTGCGCGCATACAAGCAAGTCGGCATTCGAGCCTTCATTGCCCCGTGCGTCCCACTTCACGTGCCTACCCCAAGAGCGCACCGCACTGTGTTTCCTCACTCAAAAGCCAGATGCTTTTGAGTCAACTAAAAAGCACCGCACTGTGTTTCCTCGTCCGAAAATCAAATTCACAGGGCAGGGGACCAATCTCTGTGAAAAACAAGGATTCACCTGTCCAAGGCAGAGACCGGTCTTCTAAAAAACAGTCTCAGTTTTGAGGCGCCTAAATAACGCGCTTATCCCCAGAACACTTGGTATTTTGTGCCTCATTTAAGAGTCACATTCGCCTGTCCAAGGCAAAGATCGGTCTCACGGTCTCCCAGGCCTATCTTTCCACATAACCATGCCTTCCCTGTGTTTTCTGCCCTCTGTTCTCTGCCCACTGTTTTCTCTGCCCTCTTTTCTCTGCCTGCTTTTCTCTGCCCTCTTTTCTCTGCCCTCTTTTCTCTGCCCTCTTTTCTCTGCCCTCTTTTCTCTGCCCTCTGTTCTTGTTCTCTGCCCTCTTTTCTCTGCCCTCTTTTCTCTACCCTCTTTTTTCTGCCCTCTTTTTTCTGCCCTCTTTTCTCTGTTTTCTCTGCCCTCTTTTCCCTGCGCTCTTTTCTCTGCCCTCTTTTCTCTACCCTTTTTTTTCTACCCTCGTTTCCCTGCCCTCTGTTCTCTGCTGCGCCATCTGCATCCTCCCCATGTTCACTGTGCAGTATGCTTGGCGATCTGGACGTTTCAGTAAGTCCGTCTTTCTCCCCTTCCTTTCTAAATTTGAGGCGCCTCAAAACCAGACTCATTTGGACGTTTCAACAAGTCCTCCTTCCCTCCTTTCCTCCCCCTCTTCCTTTCCTTGGACCTTTCTTTCTTCCCCTTTCGTCGGGACGTTTCAAAACTCCTCATTGCCAAAGCACTCTCCTTTTTAACGCTCACGGGCTCTTCCCACCCACGCCCCCTTTGTTGAGGCGCCGAAAAGTGGGCTCTCCCCACCAGCGCCCCCTCCCCTCCCCTCCGCCTCCATCTCCCCTCGCCCCCCCCCTTCCCCACGTACGCTCTTCTTGCCTTTTCTCCATTCCTTCTTCACTAATCTGAGTCTCTTACCACTGCCCCCCCAATCCCAAAGACTACTTTCTCTTCATTTCTCTTCTTCCTTCTTCATTAATCTGAGTCTCTTACCACTGCCCCCCCCATCCCAAAGACTACTTTCTCTTGTGTCGCTATCTATATCTTTCACCCCTCCCCTCCCGCTTCCCCTTCCCCTTCTCCTTCCCCTTCCCCTTCCCCTTCCCCGCCTCCTTCCCCTTCCCCTCAACCTCCTTGCAGAACTACTTTCCTCTAGTGCCAGACGCATGTGAGCGCAACGAGAGGGCGAGGGAAGAGGGGTTGTGCCCTGGGGCCATGGGGCCTGACGGCTTCTTCAGAGAGCAGCTAGCAGCGAGGCAGGTGAGGTTCTAACAAGGTTAATGACCCGCGTGAGGAGTCTATTTTTGACCCTCCTCACACCCCATGCCCCTCGTCACTCCTCACGCAAGGTTCTAACAGGGTTAATGACCCGACTCTTGGGTTGAATCAAACGGGTAGTGAGAGGGCGAGG